TGATGTGGCATGACATGGCTATGAAATCTAATAGGTGGAAGAGATCCCAATTTGGGCCAAGAAAACGCAATTCATTTTTCAGAAGGCAGTGAAATGTAATATTAAGACACATGCATTGGACAAGTCCTAATTGAATCTGTGTAACATCGCTAATATCATAATCTTCAGAACATGGTTGAACCCAAATGACGTAACACATCAGGGGATTTTAGGGACATGGTAGATGCTTCTTTGTTTTACAGTGGTTGAGCAGTAATAGGAAAAGGAAATAAAACTCATAAGACTATCTTTTACAAGAATTTAATTTCTTATTTCATTTCGAGAGTTTATGTGCTAGCTATATAGTATATACCAAGAAGAACCATGAAGCAGATATCCAAAGGAATCCAAGTAATTGAATCCATTACTTCCCATCAAATTAATACAAGTGCATTGCAATTGTCATATCATACACTTATTACTCGTACCCGAAATCATGAACCTATATTTCATCCTCAAATTAAGCATAAACATCCAGGCATTTACACCTTACAAGTTTATGCACAAATTGTCAAGTGTACTAAAAAAAGGAAATCTTCTCACTCTTTGCACAATAAATTGTGAAATAGCCAACTATGTGAGGTTTTGATTGAAAAGCCAGCGCCTTTTTCGACAAGTTTCAAATTTCAAATGAATTTGGATACCTTAAAATTGATAGTTGAGCAAATTTGGCTTATGAAAATATGAATATAGCATAATATAATTACATCCAAACAATCACATTCCACTTCCCGAGTCTTGAAACTACAAGTATTTGAACCCAAAAATCTCACATTACCTTATATTGTTTCCTAACAACATTACAACAATAATATTTGACACATTTAAATTCATAATCATTACTATGTTGAGCTCAATTGGTTAATTAATATTGATATACAATTTATACAAACTAAACTATAAATTTTAGTTATATTAGTGAAATATTAGTGAAAAAACAGAAATTGGCACATACCCTATGATTGAAAGATTAAAGGGATGAAGATGGAGAAGGGTTTAAAGAGTTGGAAGAATGTTGTTTGTATCTGCCTCTTATGCTGGAGGTTGTGCCGCCGAGCGAGTAGGACTACCGGACAGGAGAAACAATAAAGTTAGAATTTGGGTATTGAGTTTAAAGTTTAAACCAAGTTAAGTTTTGGTTCTTTTGGATTAATTTATTTATTTTGAGGTTTGCCTAGTTTATTACCTTGACAAATTTGTAATTAAAAGAAAATAAAAGCATTGTTCATGGTAAAACTGATAAATACCATTAGCGGTTATACCATGAACAGTTTTTTTTTTTTTTTTTTTTTTTTGTACTTTTCATAGTAGAACCTCTAATAGTGTTAACAGTTCTACCAAAATAGTGCAAAAAATCACTATTTAGGTCAAAACTGATCGCCAGATAAGACCACGCACAATTAGACAACAACTAGATTAATGATAATGCGAATGACAATGCAGGTTCAAGGAATAAAGATGAATGATCTATGAGAAACGAACAAAGGGAAAAGGGAGGAAGAGACACAAGATGATGATCAAGAATAAGGGTAAAACTACGGGTGGCTATGAGTCCACCAATCCACTAAGTTAAATGTTTGATACAAGTACATTGTAGGTTTAGAATAAGGCTATTACGATGCCAATAATTGCTAATTGCTATGAAATGCAAGGCTTGGATATTTTGTGATGATTTTTACAATGATTAATCTCCTATTTATAATAAAGAAGTCTTCTTGAAATGCTTCAACGGCTCTTTCCCTGATTCCGTGGAATCCAGAGTTAGTTGTCAGCTTTAGTTCCGAGTTTCATGCCATATTCTCCATGCACTTATCCGTTGTGATTTAACTTGTTCTTATCAACAGCTAGTTGCGGCTTGTGGTTCCAATTCTTATGTTACGTACTCCCCTTAACTCTTTCAACTAAGATCCTCTTCGAATATTCTTTGGAAAGATCTTCACTTGACTTCCTTCGATTGACTTCATGGTAACCTGTAATCTGCAACCTAGCAACCTGCAAACATACGAACCTATGGTGATAATTTAGGCATAACAGTTTGCCCCCAGCTTGGCTCTTAGATGTACCAGGTGCGTCTATGAGGCAAGCTTAATCATTAACTCAAAAAGATAAAATTGGAAACTAACGAAAAGATAGAATTTTCAAAAGATAGTCTCAATCTTAGATCCGTTAGAAAGGATAAATGTATTGAGAATATAACTCTTTTCCGTTGAAGCCTAATAAATGCACGCTTATAAATAGGTGTCTAGCGGCTTCTCAAGTCAGAATTTTCAAACCAATTTCAAAATAGAAAATCTAGGGTTTGCTACGAAAATTGGGGAAATCAGATCTTCTTCGGCAAAGCGCAATCTGAGCTGGGATTTCGCAGTAGTGGAGTCAAGATTTGCAAACTCGTTATCCCCTATTATGCCAATGCTTCCTTTATGCTTTAATTTCATTGTTTTCGTTGCCTTTTCTTGCGAAATTTAGTTTAATTATGGTTAAAATCAAACATGTAGCTAAGAAAAAATGTCATATACATTTAATTAGGAACTTGAGAGAGAATCAAACTAAGATGGGGAAGGCTGACGAGGATAAGCCCAGCAAGTTAACAGAGGCAGAGTTGAAGGAACTAAAAAAGGTTGTTGGGTTCCCAGATATTGCTGTATTTTTCGCACCTGGACCTGATGACAGGCTGCAGTGCTACAACGATGACCATATCGTTTTTCACAATTTTCCCATCAAAAATGGTTTTAATTACCCCTTTTCTCCATTGGATAAACAAATTTTGGAAACCTTTGACTTAAGCCCAGGTCAATTGATGCCAGCGGTTTGGAAGGTGATTAGTATGATAGATAAGGTTATAGCTAGTTGGAAGAAAAATGTGAATGTGGGTGATTTCATTAGGTGTTTTGAACTTAGAAAGAAGGATCTAGATAGTGTAATAATTTACAAGAGGGGTTCCGCTGATCCTCCTCCGATCATTGGGTATGAGACAACTGATCGAGGATGGAAATCAAGGTATTTCTTTGTTTTAAAGGACTCTTTGGGAGAATCTGGAAGATGGATGAGAAGCAGCTGGCATAAAGGTAGCCACTAAGTCTTACGTGAGTTGGTTGTATGAAGGAAGTATATTAACTAAGGGTTTCAATCTCTCTTTCGCAAGTTTGTGTTTGGATGCACTTAAACCCGAAGACGGTTCAGAAGAGGTAAAGGCTTTATATTAGGTTCCTGTTGTTGACAGAACCTTCAGCAACTTAGTTGTTCCATCTTCAGCTGCTAGTACTTCTATGGCTTCAGGTATACTTCTAATACTTAGGTGTTTCTTTGAAACTTTGCATTGAAACTAGGATTCATTGAGCTTTGGTGTGTCAGGTAAAAGTGGAAATTTAATGTCTCGTCAGGAGGTTCTTAATCGTGCTAAGAGAAAGAGGAGGTCTCAAGATAGATCAGGGGAAACTTCAGTTCAACTTAATGAAGAGAGCCCCCCAAGGTAGTGACTAACAAAGAGACAGATTCCTGCTAGGGTTCCTCGTACTAGGTCTAATGCCTTCACTGCTCCAATTCTCTTAGCACACACTTATGATGTTAGCTTACTAACTGATTTTCTGGCTGATGCTACTAACTTGAATTCCTTCTATGAAACAAGGTCTTCAAAACTTTATGTCTTCCAAGGGTTATATGGAAGACACTACAAAGAGGTTGAAGAGGGTTGAGAATGCCAGAAAAGACCTGCAAACCCAGAGGGATGCGGCTGACAAGAAGGTGAAGGACCTCACTACAGCTATGGAGCAGCAGAAGAAGGAATTTGAGGAAGGCATGAAGAAAAAAGAAGAGGAGATGAAGCAGCTCTCTGACAAGGTGGTAATTATGGAAGAAGAGAACAAGGATATTGAGGCTGACGCGACTTTGAAGATCAGGGCTCATATGGCTAATGGGTTTCTTCTCAAGAGGTACGAAGGTGAAGCAGGAGAAAGGCTACAGCAGAAGGTGGATGATTATCTAACTATTGACCACATCAAGGATCTGGTATCTGAGGAACCTAAAGGCGATGATTTTGAAGCTGAGAAGTCCACTGCTGAATCTTCTTTAGGATACGATGAGGAGCACCCTGCTGCAGGTGTTGGTGAAAAAGATGGACCTAATGCTTAGTTCTTTGCTTTACTTAGGCTTTCTTGACATTAAAAACATTGGTTTGGTATTTTGAACTTGTGTTTTACTTTGTTCGTGGCAATGACAAAAGGATATTTTAGGTCGTTGGGTTCTAAATCAATCAAACAAAGATTTATAATACCTAAACCTAACACTAAACAAGAGTCTAGTGGCAATTCAAGGGTCGATCCACGGAGAACGGCTAATCACCACAATCATCACCAACAACTAAGCTACACCGACAAGGGGTAAGAAACAAGAACTAACCCCTACTAGGTAGACTAAACTAAGACAAGATAAAACACTAAGGAAATAGTTAGGCGTAGCATTCACTCAAGCATAAACAAAGCATGGAAGTAAATCAAAATGCGAACTAAGAAACTCATGTCAATGATTTAAAGAAAAATCTAACCACCTATCGGGGTCAATCGCTTTCCTAACTCATCCCTAGCTTACACTATCGTCATAAGCCATGTGAATCGGGGTACAATTCAAGCCAATCATTCAATGGACATTCCTAGATCATGCTATCTCCATAACCTAGTTCAATCCACCCAACTACAACAATTGATAGGCCTCTCAAATGCAGTAATTGGTACGGTAGACATGGAAAACAACGCATTTTAATCACAAATAAATCAACTCCAAACCCTAGGACATGCTCAAGATCCAACTACACCACAACCATCTGCTTAATGGGGGAACTACTCACTAATCATGCTAATAACATGGTTAATCAATAAATTAACAAGCAACAACATGATTAACAAGAAATCAACAAAGCAAAATCAACCCCCAAACTAGTTTCTCATGATTCCTCGAAGGAACTGGAAAAAGATATAGAAATGAAAAGCATTAGAAGGTTATCCTGACGTCTTAGCTATGCACACTCTCTCTATAGGCTTGAAATCTATCTCCCTCCACGGATTTTGACTCAACTCCTCTAGAGTCTAAAGGTATTTTATTGGTTGTAACATCTGGGTTAGGGTAAAAGGTGGGGCAAAAATTTGAAAATTTGGTGGTATTTCTTAAGTGAAGCAAAAGAGAGGCCCTCTCTCAAAAGCAAGTGCCCACCGTCGACCATTGCTGGTTCTGCCTGCTCCGGTCGCACACACCACCGTCCTTGTGCTCCACCACCACCGTCCAACAGCTGGCCACCAGGTTTGTTGTTAACTTATATTTAACTTCTTACCTCAATTTCGTTTTCTTCTTGCTAGGGCTACAATTTTGATTGCAGTTTTTAGGTCAAAATTGGGGCAATTTCATTATTATTGTTGTTGTTTTCAAATTATTATAGGTTATTAGTTCTGAAATATATTGGCATTTTCTAGGGTTTTGTTAATTTAGATTTTTCAATATTATTTTTTATTAGCCTCTAATTTTCTGGAATTTCTTTGTTCTGTTTTGACTAACATTAAATTGTTGATGTTATAATTTTCTGGAATTTCGTTGTTTTGTTTTGACTAAAGCTTATGCTCCTCATTTTTCAGATAAGACCTGAAGAAAGGCATTCATGTTGAAAACCTAAGAGTTAGAGGTCACTAGTGCTCGAGATGTTATGCAACAGCTTCTTCAGGTATTGATCAACCTAACTAAACACATACTCAACCTACAGAAGACCTTGATTAGATTGTACAAGCATAATTAAGTTTGCATGGTGATAGATAATCTTTTGTTCTTTGCTAAAGTCTAAAGTTTAGGTTCGGTTTTGGTAAGAGCATGGTTTGTTAAGGAGCCAATCTCAAGTATTCTCAACCCTTGACATGATCTTTGACCTCTTAAAATATGCCTCTTTACTAGGGGCCTCCTGAATGAGTTACAACAACAAACTTTACAAATATCTTGTGACAAGGTTGCAAATTAACTAGGAGCCTCTAGGATGACTAGCAATAATACGTATCAACTAGTAAAATTCTGTGTTGATTCCACTTGTCATCTTCAAATATGAACTCGTGAATGGTAAATATGACAATCTCGGAATATGTTTCAAAGTCTCTAAGGTGACTGATATTTTAATCGATGCCTGTTTTTTACGAATTCTATATACAAGTGCCTAATGAAGGAATGTTAATGGTTGTCAGGGTGCTGCAAACAGAAAGGTGGCTGCCACTAACATGAATAGAGCAAGTAGTCGTTCTCACAGTGTATTCACCTGTGTTATTGAGAGTACTGTAAGTATTTTCCCTCTAAGTCTAGTATGTGTAAAAAAAAACCAGCTCTTATATAGTGCAGAATTTTCAAAGTTTGAAATTTAAGTGCTTAATGAATGGTGGTAAAATTGCAGTGGGAATCCCAAGGTGTAACACATAATCGCCTTGCTCGACTAAATCTTGTAGATTTAGTTGGCTCTGAAAGGTAAAATCATAAATTGCAACTCGTTGCTAGTACTAGACTAATACAAAAGAAAGAAAATAGAAAGAGAGAAATTATTGTTCTAGAATCTAGTCTTCTTGTTGAGTGTTTTACTGCTATCTATTTCAAGTCTTAGCCTCTCCAAGATGATCATTACAGGCAAAAGAGTTCTGGTGCAGAAGGTGACCGTCTTAAAGAAGCCACAAATATCAATAAGTCATTGTCAACTTTAGGTCTGTTTTTCCTTCTTTCAATTAAAACTATATAGCAGTAGCTCACAGTAAAGAATTTATCTCTTGATTGTCCTTACTTTTTTATAATGCTTCAGACTCGCGATAATGAACCTCATGAGCATATCCAATGGAAAATCCCATCACGTGCCATATCGAGATTCAAAATTAACCTTTTTGCTTTAGGTATTTTCTAACACAATTTTTTGCTCATTAATCTGCCAAGGAATTTTATTTGCAAGTCTGACTTGAGCTGTACTTTGGAATTCAACTCACTTGGAGGGAATGTAAAAACTACTATAATTGCTAATATTAGTCCATCCAACTGGTTAGTGCTTCCTACATCCCTTTTCTTTTTAATCGTCACTTTCATCTATAATGCAATGGGAATCTAAACCAGGCAAAGTGTTTAGTTTGTATCTCGTACACATGGTAGTGTTGATTTAGCAATCTCGAATAATTCTCTTCTATTTTGAGGTGATGGCAGAGTTTATAATTTTGCTTAAGCAGATACAGAGTATTTCCTATTTTTTCTTTATCTCGAGTTCCAAATATAGAAGGTAGATTTTTCTGTGTTTAGAACTTTATTCCTTGATATAACTTTTCGGCTTCTTGCAGCTGCTCACTGGAGACTCTTAGTACCCTGAAGTTTCAGCGTGCTAAATTTATAAAGAACAATGTATGTTGTCAGGAAATCTGTACTACTTTGTGTTTGGCTAAGTTGGTTTTCTTTAGATATTTGCCTTTAAGTACCATTCTCTAAAAGAATATTAACTGGTTAGCTTCATGTTCATTAATTATAATATTTATATCCATTTGTTCAACCTATCAGGCCGTTGTAAACGAAGATGCTTTTGGTGATGTCCTTGCCATGAGAATGCAAATTCAGCAATTGAAGGTATCTCTATCTTATATCTTCCCAAGAACTAATACAATAGAGAATTTCTTCTAAGAGAAGCATAAGATTATATTAATACACACATATTTCATAGGTTGTGTAAAAATGCAAAAGTCTTGTTGCCAAACAATCTCAATTCTCTCTTGAATTTGTACTAATCTTTTTATTTTTAGTACATTAGTATAATTTCTGTCTTCATGTTTCAAATATTTTTTTGAAGAAAATAGTTAAGCTGTTGTTGGATTGGTGTTGGATATCATAAAGAAGTTAAATTATATGAACCTTGTCTGTACTCATTTGATTTATCATGGTGTAGAAAGAAGTGTCACATCTGCGTAGTTTACAAAATGGAGGAGCTAGAAATTAGGATAATGATGCCATGACGTTGGGGGTTTTGGGTGGGGAAAGGGATGGGAGTTAGGGTGGTTTCGGGTTGGGGAATTCAAGTTTTGGGCGGTTTCGTTGGTAGGGCTGGGGCGGGGGGTCTATTGCGCTCATGTGGCTCTGGAAGGAGGGTGGTTACGGTGGTGGTGCAGGGGGAGGGGGTGGCTATCGGGGCTGGGCTGGGGAATGGCTGTCGGGCTGGGTGGGGAATTGTTTAATTAATTTTTTTTTTTATTTTAGGGTTTTGAATTTTAATTAGATAATTGAATTTATTTTAGATTTTGGGGTTTCATTGTTGTATTATCGAAGTTAATATGTTGGATTTTAGGGATTTTTGGGTCAAATACCTAGCGACAAACTCCTATGTTCCTTCACTGAAACGCAGTCAAGAGATAGAGTGCAGTATGTGCTTAGAACGTGTGCTCGCTAAGATAGCAGCCTCTGAACGGAAGTTTGGTTTGCTATCAGAATGTGACCACCCATTTTGTATAACTTGCATCAGATTTTGGCGTAACAGCTCACCAACCTATGGAATAAATGTTAATTCCACATTGAGGGCTTGTCCTATATGTCGTAACAGCTACAGTGGAATCACATAAATTGTAGCCTCTTTCTCCTTATACTGCGTAAGTTATATAATCAAATTTATCTTGCTCGAGCTAGCAAAAATACCCTTGACTTTTCTGTCTTTTATGAACAGCTATGAGGATTTGAAGCCACCCAGCTCTCCAAGCCCATCTTCTCCTGGTAACTCTCGTGAAGAATCTTTGGAGACTTCAACACCTGTGGATGGTGTACCACAGTTCATTGATGGAAACGGATCCTTGGCAGAAGATGTTCAAGAGGAATTGATTTTTTACCACTCACCATTCCCTGTGTAAGTCTTTGCAGTCATGCTGATATCCTGAGGGTGGTGAAGTCATGTGATTATCCCAAACATGTGTAGAAATGTACTAGTGTAGTATGTTTTAATAGCAAGTGAATAAACTAGATTACCATAGGTAATTTGCTCATATGCATGCATCATTCTCCCACATTTACTCAATTGATTCAGTCAAGATGCCCTTTGTATTTTGGCTTCATTTAACCACAACATAGAAATACCTTTTTACTTGAAGTTTTTATTCTATGGATCATAATTTAGTCAAGTCATTTAGCTAGTCAGTAGCTGGCTCTCATCTTTACACATAATTTGAGATTCCCTTTTCAACTCATAAATTATTTGGGAAAATAGCTGATAAAAGAATTGGTTATCTTCTCTTTTCCTTGCAGATATGAAGACTTGAAGCCCCCTACTTCGCTAACCCCAACAACTCCTAATTCATTGGCCACTTCCATGGCCTCGGATGGTGCTGAATCTCAGACAGCTAGCTTGTCAAATAATGGTCCAGTTGAATCTATGGAAGCATAAGATGCAGGGAATGAGCAGACTTCCGCACAGCCAAAGCCAAGACCACTTTCAACGTATACAATGTAAGTCAATCAACATTCAATCTTTCTTTCTTTTTTTTTCCCGAATAATTTCTGTTTACCATTTCAATGGATAAGAGGTTTCTCATCTTGCTGGAATACTAAACTGAATATGCACACGTATAGTTGTATTGTCTTGAGAGCGAAATTCCAGTCTTTCTTTTTGGAAATGGTGGTGGTTGCTCAACTAATTCGACAAATTGAAAGATTATTTAAGTGTGTCTATAGAATTAGCTTGATTATAACTCATTGAGGCTAGCTGCTAACTAGTTAAAGACATTTTCATTGTAGTATAATTATTTGGTAATCTGGTATAGATGAATACTTTGTATTAGTATATTGTCTTTAATTTAAGCATCTATATATAGTTCTCTGTTACATCTGAAAAGCCGAAGATTTTTTTTTTCAAGTAAAAGTTATAATTTCTATCAGATTGTGAGATACTAAAATGTGTTTGTTTTGATTACATATTAAAGCCAAAGTTATCTATTGTGTATAGTCCATGAGATCATTTCAGACTTAAAGGGAGCTTAATTTTTTATCTCAAATTTTGTATTGCTTTCAAACATAAATGATGAATGATCTCCTTAATTTTGTATTGCCGTCATCCCTCTTTAATGTTTACTTAGTTAATTACTCGTTTACAGGCTGGTTCTGACTTCTGGTTTGTTCTGACTTTGAGATTCATTGGTTTGTTCTGACTTCTGGGATTCATTCTCCTTTTTGCTCTCTTGTGAGCAACTGTACATTGACATCTCAAGTTCTGAATTTAATTCATATTATGAGGCAGAAGTTTAGTGGCATCTTAACTGTGTACATCGAATATTATAGCTTTGGAAAGTTTTTCTTCATGTCTGATGTAGATGTGAGTTTTTCAGCAATATATCTGTCTTCTTGGTCAGCTTAAACTTTTATGAAAGTTGTAATGGTGATTTTGCTTTTTCAGGAGTAAAGGTCATTGCACTCGACTAATGCTATGATCGGAATGCTTCTAATGCCAGCTTAGTCTGCCTGAGAGCCTTTTGCGTGTCCATGTTGTTTGTGCTTATGTAACATTGTATGTTATTTATTCTTTGACGAAAATTGTAATATTACAGCCTTTTATAATGAAAATATGTAACTTTATATATATTTTAGTGTTTATATATCAATTTTAGTGAAAAAAGTGCAAAAAAAAATTTTTTTAGGGCACTTTTGGCACTGGTTTTGGAACAGAACTGGCGCTAAAAGTTTTTTTAAAATTTTTTTGGGACTTTTGGCACCGGTTTAAAGCAAAAACCAGTGCGAAAAGTGAGGTTTTTTTCACCGGTTCTCACCCAGTACCGGTGCGAAAAGTCTGATTTCACACCGGTTTTGAACCGGTGCGAAATCCATGGGGTTTTAGCACCCCCCAAATCAAGACCGGTTCAAAACCGGTGCGAAATGGGGGTTTGAACTGGTGCGGATTACATGTTTTCGCCTAGTGATCTCATCCTCCAATGAGATTCCGAGAAGCTGCATGTGTTTGAAGAGCCTAGTCATTCCAAGCACATGAGGTCGGAGGGGCATGCCGGGTCTCAATTTGGCATTGTAGACCTTTGTCCAAAGCCGACGCCTTTCCTTAGCAAGACAACCCACATTTGGTGGCTTTATCTTCATGTTTGAGAGTGACCTAGTCAAATCAAACACGAGTCCATTATAGTTGCCATTGTCACTCTTGGTGACTCTTACATTGACAACGTCCTCAAGTGCTTTGAGGAACATGTCCGGAAGGTAGGAGGAAAGGCTTTCCTTCCAATCTTCCGGTATGGAATTGGCCATGAGTCGTGAGACTTTCTTGCAATTGGAAGACCATTCTTCATGAGCCTCATCGGTCATGATCCCCTTAGAGAAGAAGCTTGGAATGGGAGTGTTAAGAGTGTACTCCAAGGAACAATGCCGAAGAGTTTTCCTGAGTTCCTCCTCCTACTCCTTGAAGTTTACCAAGTTTAGGCAAAATGCCAACTTGTTGGGGAGTTCCGGGCACATAGAGTTGTTGTTTGAGTTACTTGCAGACATAGTTCTACAATTGAAAGAATTTGAAATGAAAAACCATTCATATAACCAATAAGTTTAAAATTTAAAAGCGTTCATGCAAATTTTCAATCTTATTGAGCATTTTATCCACGCATTAATAAATTTGTCCCTTTTAGGCGGGAATAAAATGATTCTGAGATCCTAAAGATCAAGAAATGGTTAAGCATGCTTTGGCTTGTCTTAACATTAAATATCTTAAAGTAAGCAATCCAATTGCTAATAGCTCCAAGCTACTATCGGTTTGATAAAATGTCGCATCTAATGCACTCTTGACATTTTATCTCTTTTGCCACGACATCTAAGGACTCCAACTGATATCGTTGAGCTTGACCAAGACAACTTGTATACCTAGTATACCTTACGTTCCTAGGGAAGTAGTGATGACTCGCTTTGGCGTAGCCCATCACATATGCGCATTAGTTCGGTAAGTATTGTTCTTGGAACGACAAATTTTGGCTCAATATTTTAAGGGACCTAGGGTTTCTATGTTGGTTGATTTAAGTGAACTTAACTAATCGTCGCAACATAAGAAATCCTAGACATGTATCTAACATTCATATAAATATATAACAATAATATATATAAGACATAAATTTGATGCATTTGGCAACTAGCATGACCCCTTGAAATCTTCAAATCTTCAAGGGTCTTCATTTTGGCCGTCTTCATCGAAACGCCGTCTTGAGACATCTTTGCCAAAATAAAATAACTAGCTACTACGACTAAGATTAATCTAAAGTATAAAAATACTTAACGGTTCGCAGACCATATTTAGATTTTACAAAAATACATAACAGAACGCAGTCCGCATTTTCTATCCTAGTCAGGTCCCACTAGTTGCCATTTTCTCAAAACCTGTTTTGAAAACAATCTTTCATTCACCCATTCACTATTTGTGAATGGCCCATGCACATTAAACACGCAAAACCAGTAACTAACTTAGGTGGTTAATCCGATTAACGCGCCTAATCAAAACTAGTCAAAGTTGTTTAATCCATTATTTCTAAGGTGCAAAATTGCTCACGTAATTAACTAAGCTCCCACTAAATTCCGCATCCATACTTAATCAATCCGATTAATTAAGTCGGCTTAACCCATAATTTGTCAAAATTTTGCAAAAGTCGAAAAATGAGGTTTGACCTCGTTAAAATAATTACATAAATATTTTAAAACCGGAAAATTTTTCACAAATGCATAGCTCGAAATTAAGCAAAATAGCCCACACAATGCCTAGTGGGTTGTGCACCATGGCTGTTAGGCAACCCATGGCCTGTGCTTTGGTGCGTGGTGATAGCATGCAGTGCCTAGCGTAGCATGCATGCCACGCTGCTAGCGCCAGCCGCCTGCCTAGCATGCTGGTGCCTGCCAGCAAGTGGTGCGCTGGGCTGGCGCTTGCTGCCATGCTGCCCAGCAGCATCCCCTCGCAAGCCAGCTCCCAGCCACTGCCCCACGCACATCAGCCCCAAGCTTCCCTCGCCACACAGCATCGCACAACAGCACGCTTCGATGCTTAGCCCCTGTGCGCACCATAGGCAGCCTACATGCGGGCTGCTGGGCAACCCGACTAGCCTTGGTGACGCTTGGGGTTTTGCCTCGATTTGCGTGCATATTTCTCGGGATTTTAATCCCGATTTACGTGTGACGTAAAATTAATCTAAATTTATTTTAAAATTAATTTAGGGCAAAAATGAAATAAAATAAGTCCAACTTAATTAAATTCAATTTTAATGATGCACAAGCCTAAATCATCCAAAATTTTCTTTTGAAATAATTTAGGTCTTCCTTTATGCTTAAAATTAAAAAGAGCTATGTCCATAATTAATTTAACCAATATGCAAATTAATAATGGATTTGACAAATGGGAGTTGGAAAAATAAATTAATCATCTAATGATAAAATTTTCCAACTTTCATACTTGTGTAAAATAACAAGATTACATCCTCCAATATGAAGATTAATCATAATTACTCACAAGCATTTGAACTTCAAGGATTTTAATCAACCAAAAAATGAAAAAATCCAAACTTAGTTCAATCATGGAATTTAGGGTTAAAGTTCCAATCATTTAAACATTTAAAGATTAGATCTTTAACATACTTAGGAACTTAAAATTACACATTCACATCAAACATTCACACATTAATGCAATTTATTTGCATAATTGTGAAGAAACAAGTTTGTGTGAAAAAAAGAGCATATCAACTCAAGCACTAATTACAAGTCCATAATTATGCTTAAGGATATTTAAAATGGCAGTAGATTAGGGATGCAATAATGCATTTAATCTATCCTTGAAATGCTTGCATTAATCAAGGCTTACAAGATTTAAAACTTTCGTTGAAAACGAAAAAACCACAAAAAAATGGGTTTCTGGTTCGAATTTGGCTTCTGGACAGGTCTCAAAGAGGATGAATTTGATTCAGAATGTCAATTCCACCCAAAAAACACTATTTTTGAGCAAAATTCTAGGTTTGATAGCCAAAACGAGAAAAATACGAGTTTTAAAATTAATTAAAACGAGCTTCTAATCCAATTAGAAAAGCAAAACCAGAATATAAATCTTCTTTAAAACACCTTAATTAATAAATAATTGCAAAAATTAAAAGGAGCATGGCTCCGATACCGCTGTAGGGTTTCTTAGTGACCCTCACTACGTGGAATGAAATCCCCCAAGACCCGCCCCCATAATTAATGCAACTAATACAAACAAAACATAATTAAAACACAATTAAGAGTAAGGATAAGAAATATACCCTCGACGCGTGCTTCGCTCTTACAACGAGCTCTTACTTCAACCTCGATAATGCGAGGCCTCCAACGGGATCGTACCCTCGAACCCCACCCGATCGTCCTAAGCCTCGAAGGTTAGTCGAGGCTCGGACAAAATATAAATTTGGAGTTTTACGAATTCAAGGTATACTCAACAATGGAGTTTCCTTTACAATTCCACTCAAGTGTGTTCTTTCCCAAATACCCAAGCCTTGGTATTTATAGGGAAATGAACCCTTGATTTCCAATCTCCCACCAATGTGGGAGAGTTGGTAAATATGACAATTTATTTAATTTTAAATTAAATAAATAATCAACTCAATCACAATGCAACAAGTGTCAAGGGGGGAGAGAGAGTTAGGTGAGGACCTAAAGTAAGGGGGGGACCATTGCCTTGCTCCCTAAGACTTTGCCCAAGGGTTGGTCCCCACCCCTCACAAAACCGGCCTCATGTGGGCTACTGGGCTGGCAGCCAGCTAGCATGCCAGCTAGCACTGCCAGCATGCCAGCATGCTAGCACCAGCCCAGCCAGCACAAGCATGATGCATGTGGCTGTGCTGGGCAGTGGCTACGCTGCTGCTGCTTGCTAGGCGCTGTGTGCTGCTAGCTAGGCGCTGCTGTCCAGCCATCGCACACGCACACGCAAGCCCAACCATAGCGCACATGCACGCAAGACCCAGCCATGCCGCACATGCACGCAAGGCCCAGCATGCGTGCTGCTAGCGAGCCACACATGCTGGATGGCTTGATGCTTGGCGATAGTGCTAGGCACACACGCACACGCACACGCGCAAGTGCCCAACACTGCGATGGTGCTATGCTATGTGCTGTGATGGTGCGACAGCCCTAGGTACATGCACACGCACACACGCATAGGCCTAGCTATGCGATAGTGCTGTGCTTGTGCTGCGATGGTGCGACAGCCCTAGGCACATGCACACGCACACACGCATAGGCCTAGCCATGCGATAGTGTTGTGCTTGTGCGATGGGCTGCGATAGCACCTAGGGCGCGCCTAGCACACACATGGTGCGCCTAGGCTTGCGATGAGCTAGCCTAGCCTAGAACTTCACATGGCTAGGCCAATGTGATGCTACGGCTATGCTTGTACTTGTTGCTTGTGATTTTGCGACGCTCGGTTTCGACGCCCTAGGCTCGAAATATCCGACGTCTGTGTTCGTAAAACTCCGACGACTCATTATATCCTTCAGATTGATTCGTCTTCTCAGATCGGTTGTTCGATTGGGTTTGACCCAAAGGGTTCAGTTAAGATTAAGTTATAATATTAATTATACCTTAATATT